CAAACCGCTCCAGCGAAAGACAGAGATCACGTTCCAGTGAAGCCAACAGGACCACATCATCTGCAAAAAGCAGAGACCTGATCCTCAGGCCACCAGAACGGATCACCTCAACACAGGGCCAGATTAACACTTTGTTGTACCCTGGGCAACAATATTAAAGGGCTCCATCATCAAGACCCAAGGATCACCACAATATGGTCACATACAGAATATTTTACTGTAATATGCAGTAAATATACTCAATACTTGAATGCCTGACATCACGTAACCCACTCAGGGTAACCTTTGACCCACCTCGTGTGGACTGACCAATGAGGAGACGGTCTTAACTTGAGGCCCTCTCTTCATTGGTCAGTCTGCATGAGACTGACTCTCAACTGACGTTCAAAGTCGTAGGCAGCGAAGCGTCTCTGTGCAGCGCAAAAGCCCGGGTGGACAGTTTGTTTAATGTAGGGTGACCATATTTCCATTTCCAAACAAGAGGACAGGAAATCTGTGCCTATGACGTCACACTATGGCAACGCCACACAAACCACGTTGGGACCCATTTTTTGTAAGAACTAAATTAATATCAGATTCTGCCCATAAAAGGGCTATAAAACAATAAATATGTAAATATTTTGCCTATTTAATGCAAAATCTCATTTTTCTGCTTTAGTGCTGCAACAAGGTTTTATTAATAATAAATTATTATACCTTTTGTTTTACTACAGCATCGGTAAGCTTCCTGTGCACAGATTATTAAGGATGCTTGTTTCAGCTGTGAGATTAGACGATAGGGTCAATGAAAAAATAAGTTGTCACACACTCCATGGAAACTTTCAGAGAATCCACAAATAGTGGCTTTCACATGGTTTTGTTACTTTTTGCAAGTTTAGAAAAGAAGCAGATGAGACAGCATGTCTGATAATTTAGTTTTTCATCTGATAACATTAGAACATGTCAGTAATGTCTGAGGGGCTTTTATAAACACTGTATAACTAACACTCCTGGAGAGGGTATGGATTACACAGAGGCTTCTGGGGAGCCCAGTTATGGGGGGGGGGGGGTCTGTTTGGCCCCCAAAATGCCTTGAAACGGCCCTGGGTGTGTGACTGAGTTTTGAAGGTGATCTGAATTGTATCAGATGTATAAATATTACATGTGTGTAACTTATTGTTTTATACAGGTAAAAACGTGTAGTGGAGATAAATCTACCTACATTTTACTTTTCAACACTTTGTTTTGTTTTCTGGTTTTTATTGGACTATTTTCCTGTCCTGTCTGTCTCTCATCTTCCTGCATCTCCTCTTAACTCTCCAGAAAATCTGCTGCCTGGATTCTTACTTTTTCACCTCATCATTTACTTTTGAGCAGGTCAAAGGGATCTCCTGACCGCAAAGCGGAGAGCGTGTTTCGATGCTGCGTCAGTGAGGTGGAGTCGCCGCAGCACAGGTGATGAGCTCCGCAGTAGCAGAGCGCTTCAGGCGCAAATAAGACAGAAAATAGAGAATATGTGCGGACATGGACGATCGTGAGCTAATTATAGTTTTTTGGTTGCGCCACTTTGAGAATGGACCGTGCGCTGGACGCAGCAGCCTGGAGAGCTGCACACAAACGATCATCGCTCTGCCGCTCTCTGTGCTCTCTGCTCAAAAGAGTCCATGAATCATGTAATATAGGTAGAACACTTTTTTCCGGCTCCCCTGGATGTGTAGGATATACAGCTCCCCCATAATTCGATCCCTGCTCCTGGATGAAAAGCCGGACATTTTCATCAATACAAGAACCCGCAGTCCGGACGCCCGGACAGAGAGTGAAAAGTGGACATGTCCGGGGAAAACAGGACGTACGGTCACCCTAGTTTAATATAAAGCGGGAGATTACAGATACAGCATTTTGCTCGTGCCCTTGCTGCCCTGGGCCCTTTAGAGTTCGTGGGCCCTGGGCAATTGCCCAGTTGCCCATATGGTTAATCCGGCCTTGCCTCAGCACCTTGGCTGCACCTAGAAATCCTGTCCATAAAAGTTATGAACGAAATCAGTGTCAAAGGGCAGCCTTGGCGGAGTCCAACTCACCGAAAACGAGCCTGACTTACTGCTGGAAATGTGGACCAACCTCTGGCATCAGTCACACCAAGGAGCTTGGTGCCCCATAGTCCTGGAGTAGCCCCCACTGGGTCCCCCGAGGGACACAGTTGAGCACCTTCTCCAAAAACACAAAACACATGTAGACTGGTTGGGCAAACTCCCACGCCCCCTCCAGGACCACAAGGGTAGAATCAGAATCAGAAGGTTTTCTAGCCATACGTGTGAGAACCACAACATTAGGAAATTGCTGCGGTACTCGGTGCAAGAAAAAATAAATAAGCAAAAATTGGAAGACTGAGTCTAGGGTGTTACGGGTCAGCTGTTATCCGACCTGCAGGCCCCAATGTCCAGGAGGTGTACAAGTCCTGTACGGAGGGGAGTTTGCAGCCAATGACCTCCTCAGCAGAGCGCACAACACGCTGCAGCTTCTTCTTGTGTCTGATGGTAGCCCCAGCAAACCACACGGTGATTGATGAGGTGAGGATGGACTCGGTGACTGCGGTGTGGAACTGCCTCATTGGCTGTAGTGGCAGGTTACATTTCTTCAGCTGCCTCAGGAAGTTCATCATCTGCTGGTGCTTTTTGAGACTGAGGTGATGGTGAGCTCCCACTTGAGGTCCTGGGTGATAGCGGTGCCCAGGAAGCGGCATGAGTCCACCATCATGATGGGAGTGTCAGACAGGGTTATGGGGGAGAGGGGCTGTGTGCTTCCTAAAGTCCACAACAACCTCCTCTGTCTTCTGGATGTTTAGCCCCTGGTTGTTGTGGCTGCACCAGGACACCAGCCATATAGAGCTGGTCCAGTGTTCCACGGCCACGAAAACCACATTGCTCCTCCTGAATCTGAGGTTCGACTATCTGTCGGACCTTCCTCTCCAGAACCCCTGATCAGATCTTACCAGGAAGGCTCAGGAGTGTCATCTTCCTGTTGATGGAACACACCCTGGTCTGCAAATCCAGTGGAATTGCCCCTGATGTCCATGCGATACTGCATAGCCGCGTCAGCCAACACAGCCCTGCAACATCCAGAGCCTTAAGGAACTTCAGGTGGATTTCATCCACCCCCAGACACCTTGCCACAAGGAGTGTTTTGACCACCTCAGTGACCTCGGCTCCAATTATTGGAGAGCCCAACCCAAAGTCCCCAGACTTCACTTCCTCACAGAAGACGTGCGTGGGATTGAGGAGGTCTTCAGAGTAGTGAGCCCACCGATCCACAACACCCTTACCGGTATCACCAGCGTTGGTAAAGCACACTGCTTTCTCTCCTGATGGTGGACCAGAATCTCCTCAAAGCCGTACGGGAGTCTTGCACCACGGTCTCCCCAAACTCCTCTGGTAATAATCTCAGCAGAATATAAAGGATCTAAACTGCTTTTCACTCATGAATTATGATGTATTTATAGTTAAATGCATGACACGTTAGATGATGAAATCAGTTTTGATTGTGATGAAATTGTTCCAAATGCCTAAATCTGTTGTGTCTTCTACTCTCCATGACTGATGTCAAGTTATTGTTGTTGTTAGCCTCAAGGGCAACATGCCGATTATCACTTGTAAGTCGCTTTGGACAAAAGCGTCTGCTAATTACATAAACATAAACTTTGTCCCCCCCAGTTTGAAAATCCTATCTGCGCCCCTGCTTCAGGGTGATCGTTCTCCCGGATCTTTCTGTCTTTGATTGGGTTCAAAACCCTTTAAATTACAATTTTAACAAACATTAAATCAGATTCAAGTATTTGTTTCAGACTTTATTCCTGTTTGAACAATTTATGCTGTCCTCCCGGAGGACTGAAGTGATTTAGTTTGGTCACTCTGGGTTTTGTTTTTTGTTCTTGTCTTTTTGACCCACTTTTACTCAAAGAAGCAGAACAAGCATCTGAGAGAAACGAGACGAAAAGTGTCTCCTGTACCCATGACAACAGTCTCTTGAGCAATTTTTTTTTCACTTAAGAAGAATGTTTGAAAAGGGGAACCTGAGAAGCTTTTTAAAAGATAATGTATAATTTATCTGTATTTTTCTCAGAGCCTAGGAGGCGTGTCCTGCCCAAGACGTGTTCTGGATCTGTCAGAGCGCTGCAGCAACACTCACTCACATTGCCCGCATCTCTGATTCGCCGCCATGCTTTGCTTTTTTCAGTCATGCTGACTTTATTCAATAGAAAATGGGAGCTTAACTCTGTAAACTGTTATTCCTCAGGGCTCCTTTGTTTCAGATCTTTGCTGTGAGTGAAGGTCCATGCCTGTGCAGATTCAGGTAAATGTGGAATAGCAGTAAGGTTGGGCGTTGCTGATGAGCCGACAGGGGCTCATTTAAAGCTCTCATTCACTAGTTTTTTTAATAAATCTCCAACATAAAGAAATGTATTTGACTGTTTTTAAAGTTCCTGTGTCTGCACTGACCGCTCCTTTCCATTTACTTCTGAATCCACCTGTTTTTTCTGCAGGTCCTCGGTTCCCCTCTGCTGAAGAAAACAAAGATCATATAAAGTTAATGCCGTCAAAGTGACTCCCTCTGTGCCTTTATTAAAGCATTTCAATTATTAAGAATCTAATGGTCACTGTTGTTTCACTTACCCTCCTGTCAGTGGGACGGCGGCTTTGATATCACCTGAGAGGTCCCAGAAGCAATTTCCTCCTAGTATGTCTCCTACAGGTCTGCTACATGTCAAACGCTGCTCCGAGTTCAGACACGTCGGAGGCAAACCGCCTCTAGTTTGTCATTTAGTTGTAAAATAAAGATATTTAGTATCTGATTCCTTCTTTCTGTCCCCTTTTTTTCACATTGTACATATTAATGTAAGCTGACGTGTTCATGCCTGTTTGGGATGAAGGGATTTTAATTTAGACCCCGACCCCCCCCCCCCCCCCCCCCCCCCCCCCCCCCCCGGCACGAGGCAGCTGTGGTGTCCAGGTTCAACAGGGATCCTGTGAGTCAAAAGCCAAAAAGATCATTATTTATTTACCATAAATCTGGCAAACCTTTTATTTGTTTAAATGATAATTGTTGGCTGGAGCACTGCTGCTATATTAAAGCTGTTTGCTCATCACTGTGTTCAGTAAAGATTTGTTTGCATGTGTATATTTTATATCTAACTTTTCTTATTCTCGTGTTTGTGTTATCTGTCATGACACAACACCACGTGAGCGCCATCCACTTCCACTGCATTCACATGCATCAACACCCTCCACCCTACTGGTTGAAAGTGGAATTACAACTGTCGTAAACAATCCTGCAACAGCCTGCTGTAGCTAGCGCTAACAATGAGCTAACACTAACACGAACCAGTTAATACTAAAATAAATCACCAAGTAAAAAGATCCACACTGTTGTACAACAACTCTTATTACTCACAAATCCAGTGGCAACAAAGCCAGGTCACCATCACTCTGTTATTTTTGCAGCCTCCTTTAGCTCCCTCAAACTAGTATAGGCTAGATTACTCTGGTTTTAACTCTTTGATTTGTCCTCAAAAACATTACTCTCTTACTTTTGCTTTCAGGCTCCACCATGGTGCCAACAGAAAAAGCAAACTTCTTCTTCTTCTTGAGCTATTTATTGACATTAGTGAACTGAAAGCGCTAACCGCTAGCATTACAGCTAACAGCACTTAAGCAGAAAAAGAGCACCCCCAGGACACCTACGCACTTCGTAAAACTGTTAAGTAAAGTGTCTGGTCAGCAGAGGGCTGCAGAGGGGTGTCAAATATGAAACTGGTCAAGTTTCTAACTAAAAAGTCACTGAGGTCAAAGTTAAAGCGCTAGCTTAAAGTTTCTAAATGATTCAGAGTTACTTTAAAGGTCAGATTCACTCCACTGTCTCTAGTAGGAATGAATGCCTTGCAAATCATACTCAGGGGGGAATAAAAGCTCCGGTGTTGGAGGAGAGAGTATCTTTAGTTGACAGGATTTAAGAGTCATTTTGGACATCTTGCCTTGGATTGGCTAAGAGCAACGTGACTTTGCCGCTGACTCTGTTTGTTCTGCAACGATGATTTTTATCTCCACAAAAAAAAACACAAGCCTCGAGGAGTTCTGCTGTGTGGTAGAGTTGCTAATGCTAAGAAATAGCTTCTACTAGACGTTCTCTGCTGTTTCCCGGACGCTAAACCATCAAAAGCCTTTCCCGTCGTGAGCCAAGATGGGTGAGTCCATGAATGTTAAGCGACAGTGTGACGTAGATCTGTCAGGATTTTCTAATCCTAGAGTTTCACCGTCTGTTTTCTATCAGAAGTTAATGCAGGAGATAGGTGTAGGAGACTATTTTCATGTTCAGCCTGCATGAAACAGAGACTGATAAATAAATGTAGTCATTAAATAATAATTTTCATTGAAGCCGCAACAGCAAATTAATCTGCAGATGTTAACTCGTTCATTTTTTTACTGTCTGGGCGTCGGACGAGCCCCCGCGCCGTGAGAACAACTATCTCATCTCTAAAGCCGATCTTCATCCGCATACATCACACGTCACGTGATCAGGAAGCAGAACATCCATGTTTTAGGAGATCGTTTTGGGCTGCTGCAGTAAAAAAAAAAAAGTGAGGCGCGAACCGGAAAAGCTTCTGCCAATCGCAATTCAACAACGGATTATGAAAGAACGGATAACGCTCAAAACGCGCGGATTCTTCCTGATGTAAGAGGTGAGTCTCCGCTTTGGTTTGGTTGTTTTGGCGTCAACATCATCCTAGCGCACAACGTTCTGTGACTCTTAAAAAAACAGTAAAAACGGTGAGAAACGCTGACAGCGAATGAGTTAAATATGAATTTTTTTCTTGCGTAACAAGGCCCCTCCCTGCATCATCACAACATCTGGACAAATCTCTGACAATCATAATGTATATTAGATTTTCTGATTCAGTAACTAACTTTTGGTGAGACGTTCTTCACTTTTGCAGATGATGCGGTTCTAATGAGTCTGATCCAATACATGCTAATGTAAATGTATATCAATAAAGGTTATTAAGTATTAAAGCAACGTTTGACAAACAACAAAAAGATCCACGCTCTGAATTAATGATATCAGATAAATGGGGGTGTGACTCTGCTCACAACACCCAAACGCTGACAGACCCTGATGCTGACAACCTTCAATAATTCAGCGTTTTGCTAACTGTGTGTATCAGAGGAGGTGATCTTAGTGAAACGCTGCTCTAATGGAGACGCTTTAAATCCCAACAAGAGTCAGAGAATTTAGACGCAATTAAGGAAATACCAACTTTTATTTTGGATGTTTTATTTCAAATAACAACACCTGCATTTTGGCAACAACTTCTCCCTTATCAAGTTTACAAAAGTGTCTGTAAACATTAAAGTGCAAAGAACTTGCTCACCATTTATGGCACGGATCTTTAAAGGTTCATGCTACAAGCACGCCGCTCTCTTTTTTTAGGTTCGCTTACCGCTTGCCTTCATCCACACAAATGCTCCTCTTCCTGATAGTTTGTGAAAACAACAACAAAAAGGCAGGATTAAAACAAAAAGGATGAATAGCAAAGTTTATAAAAGTTTAAATAGTTCGTCCTGTTTTATTTACCCTGTGGCTGTTTGAACAAACAACAGCATCGGCGTTAAAAGTCGATTTTATAAACAAAATAAGCAAAATCAACAAAAATGCTAAATTTGAACTGCTTGAAATAGTTTCAGTGTTTGTGTTTTCCTTCGGCTGAGGCTGAAGCGGCCCTTTGCTGGTTTAGATTCTTGTGAACCTCAGTGCATTTCTGACCTCTTTGAAGGTAGAGTTCCTGATGAAGGACGTGTCCGAGGACACGGGGTTGTGCTATATCTGGGTGTCTTACCTAGCTTCAGGGGCGTGTCCAGGGAGTGGCCTGGGGTAGCGCATGCCACCCTTGGAATCTGATTGGCCACCCCATGTGTCACCACACTGAATTCCTTTTAAATAGTCTTCTCATTGTCCACAAAAGGCTTGGGGTAAAACAAAAAAGCATAACCATTGGTGTCACCCATGCACAAAGTAGTGCCTCACCTGGGCCACCCCATTTTAAAAGATCTGGACACGCCACTGCCTAGCTTGGACTTGATGGCAAAGGGCCTTGCCGGAAACTTCTAAGTGTGAGTGTTCAGAGTCAGCTAAGACGGGATTCACGCAGCGACAGAGAAATCCCATTTTTAAATCTCGTGTCTGCTCCTCTCCTGAGGGTTGACCTGTCACTGGAGATCAGAAACATGCCCAACAGGAGGGCAGCAAACAGAGAATAAAAGCTTCTGTTCTCGTCTAAATGCAGCTTATGTGTCAGGCATGTGCCCCAGAGGCGAGTCGGCGGGGCCCAACAGCCGGTACTTCTCCTCCAGAGACGGCTCGGTGCCGCCCTGCAGGTGGATGAGTGGCTTCGTCTGCAGCAGGACGCATCCTCGGCCTCGCCTCTCCTCCTGGTTCCTGCGGTTAAAAAGGTTTATTCTGTTATCCAGCTCAGGGCTCGCATTTTCTGAGCCAGTAGGACTGGGAAGCTTAAGGTTGACCGGGTCCACTGCCAGGCCCTTTTGAGCAAGGCAAGAGTCCTCAGAAAGGGAGGAGAGCAGCTCCTGCACCATCACGCTGGGGTCCCTGCAGGGGCCCTGGCCTGAGAAGGAAGGTGGGCAGCAGTGGTGGGAGCTGAAGCTCAGGCTGAGGTCCTGAGCTGCGCTGCTGCTGCAGTCGGTGATGGATGAACCCACGGTGTGGCTGCTCAGGCTGTGGAGGCGGGCCGTCAGGCTGCCGCTGGACCGCGACATGCTGGTGGAGGCGTCGCTCACGCCGCTGCCCACCCGCTCCATAGCGAGCATCGCATTGGACTGGATGAGGGTGGTGCTGCAGGGGAGGTGGACGTCGATGGCGGCCGTGGTGATGACTCGAGCCCCTAAACCAGACGCTCCAGCGTCTGAAAGGAAATTCACATGCAGGAAATTAAAGGTTAACATCGAAATGATGTCCTTTATCTTAACCATCTATGGGTCCGTCTGCTGCGATAAAACAAAAACAGGTGTTTCACGTGAGATCTCTGCGTCACATTTTAACCTCAAAACCACCTGAAAAAACTTTAAGTTGCTGTTTTTAATTCAGTTTCACAAAACGACTCACCGCTGCTGGCTTCACTGTAATACTGGCTGATGTAGTTGTTCATGTCATCTCGAACGACTGGGTCTAAAACAGAAAACCAAAAATACACTCTAAAAAAGGAAATGTTGAGTTTACCTAACGAGGTTAAATGGAACCAGTTGGCATAACCGGGCAAAGTAAATCAAACGTTTTATTTCTTATAGTGTAGAAAAGCAGATTAATGACATAATTAATGTTTTCTTTAATCTTCTGGGGCCTGACATCCACATAGCAGATAAAAACAATCAGAACAGTAGATAAAACAACAGTAAAAAAATAAAACGAGTCTCTGTCTGAAAGCCAAGTCATAAAAGTGGGTCTTTAAGCGAGACTCAAAAACTGTAACAGGCAGCGAGTTCCAGATAAATGATGAAACATCAGTTATAACAGTTATGGTTAAGAAAAACATTGTTATTTTATTTAACACACAACATCAATCACATGATCACTGATATGAACCATGAGCGTTGCCAGAGAAGATGAGAATTTGGTACCTTAAGTATCACATTTTAAGGTGGACCAAGGTTAATTAATGCTGTTTGTTTTACCAATTAACTGTTTCCTGGTCAAAAATGCCCCCGACTGCAAGCATTTTTTTGAGTGTTTTTACTGTTTTATGAAGAGTCACAGAACATTGTTTCTTGGAAGTTACTTCCTGGAGAAACAGCAACCATCACCTGCAACCCTGCAGAGACTATTAGGAGCATACATCTGAACAGCTACTGTTCACACAGTTGAATACGACATTTAAAAACATCTGGCTACTCTTTTAGCCCTTCAGTCTTTTACAAATAAACTCTTTAAGAATCTAAAAGGGTTCAAATGAAGGCAACTGGACTCTTTTGGTTTCTTGAAGACGTTTTGCTTTTCATCCAAGGAGCTTTGTCAATTCTGACTGGAATATGGGAGGGTCAAGCTTAAAAGCTATTGTTGCTTAAGGAGCAGAAACTCACTCTGAATACCCCCTCTCTACCTCCTGATGAGTCGTTAGCTTCTATTGCGTGGGAGTTGTTTTATTGATTAGATGCAGGAGGGTGTGACCTAGACTGAAACGGTTTAGGAATAGGATTCAGAGCTGCATATAGGTACTGGAAAGGTGAAATTTAAGCCCCCCTCTCCTTTAGGAACTTTTCATTTCCCCAGGGAAAGTTCAACCCTTTAAAGTCCAAACCAACAACAAAGAGCACATAAAAGATCTTTAGAATAAAGAGCAATAAAGGTTCTAATGACACAATAAAAACAGGAAAATAATTATAAATAATAATAACTATTATTATGGTGATACTAATAAATCTCATATTTTATTTCTAACTAACAGTTTTTTGTTCTTTTGTTTTATATATGAGTGTAAAGCATGTTTAAATGAAAACAGGAACCAGAAGGAGCCCTAACAAGTGCCTGACCTGCCAAACGGTTTGTAAAAAACATTCATAGAAACGTCGTCGTCGTCGTCTTCCTCCGCTTATCCGGGTCCGGGTCGCGGGGGCAGCATCCCAACTAGGGAGCTCCAGACCGTCCTCTCCCCGGCCACCTCCACCAGCTCCTCCGGCAGGACCCCAAGGCGTTCCCGGACCAGATTGGAGATGTAACCTCTCCAACGTGTCCTGGGTCGACCCGGGGGCCTCCTGCCGGCAGGACATGCCCGAAACACCTCCCCGGGGAGGCGTCCAGGAGGCATCCTGACCAGATGCCCAAACCACCTCAACTGACTCCTTTCGATCCCGAGGAGCAGCGGTTCTACTCCGAGTCCCTCCCGAATGTCCGAGCTCCTCACCCTATCTCTAAGGCTGAGCCCGGCCACCCTACGGAGGAAACTCATTTCAGCCGCTTGTATCCGCGATCTCGTTCTTTCGGCCATTACCCAAAGCTCATGACCATAGGTGAGGATTGGGACGTAGATGGACCGGTAAATCGAGAGCCTGGCTTTCTGGCTCAGCTCCCTCTTCACCACGACAGATCGGCTCAGCGTCCGCATCACTGCAGACGCCGAACCAATCCGCCTGTCGATCTCCCGATCCCTCCTACCCTCACTCGTGAACAAGACCCCGAGATACTTAAACTCCTCCACTTGAGGTAGGACCTCTCCCCCGACCCGGAGTTGGCAAGCCACCCTTTTCCGGTCGAGAACCATGGTCTCAGATTTGGAGGTGCTGATCCAAATCAGAAACGTGATTTATGATATTTTTGGTTCGTCAACTTTAAAAAAAATAGAATTTATTTCCTTTTATATCTTTGTCTCAAAATTTGTTCCTGCTTTGTTTTTCCAAAAAACTGCTTTACAGGTTGATTTACAGGTCAAAAGTGTGCACTAGTCACTAGCCACTAGTCACTAGTTCTCTTATCAAAACCGTTTAAAAATATGAACAAACTTCTATCGCCTCTGTTACAGATCTGACCTGCAACTGTTGTTTAAATAATGTGAATCTGTAATTGTAACCTTGGTGATTAAAAATCCTGGTACCTGGCTCATGCTGTGGCTCTGTTTCAGTAATCACAGCACAAAGCAGCTCAAATGGAAAACATTTCTTATGTTCACACAAGATAATATTGACTGGGAGGACTTGTGCCCCGGGCCACAGATGCTCTATGGGCAAGTGGTCTGGATCATGCACACGCCTCTGCGTTAGCTAGTTAGTGAGCTAGGACTAAACTGGGACAGGGCGGCGCGCGCGTGTGTGTGTGTGTGTGTGTGTGTGTGTGTGTGTGTGTGTGTGTGTGCGTGTGTGTGTGTGCGTGAGCTCTTTGTTCAAGCACCAATCCCTCCAGTCGACTTGGCCTCCATGTGCACGGCAAATGACTGCGATCCGCTGAGCTCTCCTGCTCGCTTGATTGGTCTTGAGCTCGCTGTCCGCTGGCTGAGTGCGAACCCAGAGTACCCTGAGTGCTAGCCCCTGTCCCGCGGGACATGCAGCAGACTCTGATGGATAGTTTCATTTATTTTTCTGTCTAAAATATTAATCCCCGAGCCACCCCTGGAGAGGAAGCATTGCACTCTCTAAAACAAGACCGAGACAATCCCTTCGCAATTAATAACGCATGAGTCAGAAACAGAAAGGGTCGTCCAGCGTGTATGAAAGGCTTTTCTTTCTGTGACACTGGAGCCGGCGGGCTGTCGTCTAAGTGTGAAAAAGAAGCTGTGACAGGCAAAGGTCTTGTTGGTTTGTCCACAGACTCAAATCTTTAATGTCTGAAGCATCGAGGACACGCCACAGGTGGAACGACCCGTTCTAAACTCACGGATCCTTAAAGCAGCAACAGTAAGTGTTTCAACTCCGACCCTTTCTGTGATTGTTGGGTTAGGAACTTTTCATATTTGACACAAATCTGCAGGAAACTTCTCACTGATCCTTTAAGTTTGGGCCTAAACTTAACTTTTAGTTGTTTCCTGTATATTTTAGGATGTGAACAAACGCTGAACTTTCCAAGTGAGTGTGCCAATGCGTCGTCTACAGAAGTGCACGTAAAACAGATGAGGTAATTCACAAATACCTAAAAAATATTAATACTTCACCTTCTTCAGATTCCTTTTTAAAGGATACTGGTTTCAAAGGGTTTCCTGGTGGTCTGGCGTTTGACTGCATATCAGCTCCTCTGACTTGGCTTTAGCCCTGTGGCCTAAGTGCTCGTCCCAGTGGTCCCAGTTGTCCCAGTGACCATGTTCCCGTAAAAAGCCCCACTTGTTTCTGTGAGCCCAGATTTCCCACTTTGCCCCGGGGGTAACTTTGTGGCCACCGTGGAGCCTCCTCATGCCCTGTTGTGGTTTTTCAGGTAGGGAACAGATGTTGACAGAAGACCACTTTCTCCAAACAAGACCCAAAGCGCAGAGCACTCTGTCCCTGAAACGGTCCGATCAGCCGGGTTTGGCCTGGGACGAGCTTCGCCGAGAGGACAGATGGTCAGAGGCATGACGTCTCAGGGAACAGGCTTGTTTTTTCCAGGATTCATCAGATCCTAAAAGCTTTTCTGTCCCCGCCAGAGCGCCGGCAGTAAGAAGGGTGTTGTGTGTGAGAGCGCGGACGGTCTGAGAGTTCAGCCTCGAAGACGCTCCAGGGCTGCAGCTTCACATGAACCGTACGCCACTCTGGCATCCAGGTCTCCTGACGTTGCCTCATCACATCCTTTTTGTTTCATATAATTATGTATATGCTTTATAAGGGTGAGGGACATCATCTGTTTTTTATGCATCGTGATTCAGACTTGATTAAAAAATCACTTTACCTATGTAAATAATAACGCAGTGTTAAGGTTTAAAGGTGGAACTCTTGTGAGCAAAGTGCAGCACCGCTGAAATATTGCACCACGTGGTGAACAAAAGACAGCTGAGTGAGACCGGTGTTATGTCAAAAAGGGTTCCTCCTGTTTGACACCCTGTGCTGCTTTAGTTCATGGTAGTTGGTCCGTAGGGGGCGCTAGGGCGCCGCCCTACCTTTAAAAAACATGTTTACCATGAATGTGTCAGTTTAGTATGGAAGCCCATTCCCGCCACTCAGATAAAAAAAATATATATTTTTTTTCTCATTATTATGACTTAGCTATCTCATAATTATGAGATACTAATCATAATAATGAGATAGTATCTCATAATTATGAGATAGCTAAGTCATAATAATGAGATACTAAGTCATAATAATGAGATACTATCTCATAGTATCTCATTATTAGGACTTTGCTGTCTCATAATTATGAGATAGTTAAGTCATAATAATGAGATAGTATCTCATAATACACTATCTCATCCCATAATTATGAGATACTATATCATAATAATGAGATAGTATCTCATAATTATGAGATAGCTAAGTCATAATAATGACATCTACTATGAGATAGTATCTCATTATTAGGACTTTGCTGTCTCATAATTATGAGATAGCTAAGTCATAATAATAGATAGTATCTCATAATAATGAGATACTATGAGATAGTATCTCATAATAATGAGATACTATCTCATAGTATCTCATTATTATGAGACACTATCTCATCCCATAATTATGAGATACTATATCATAATAATGAGATAGTATCTCATAATTATGAGATAG